CGGGCTCTGGGCGCGGGCCCGGGAGAAGGCAGCGGCTCAGCGCTCCCTGCCCGCCGCCGCGTCCTCTCCACCTGCCACTGCGGCGCCGATGCCCCGAGACCCTGGCCCCAGGCCGGTCCAGCCCGCCGGCCGCCCAAGGCCCAAAGCAGGAGAAGCGATGACAACTCGAGCCTTATTCCCGTCTGAGTCATGCAGTGACCCTTCAGTTTTGAGAAGCGGCTCTACTCGCCGCTGCGCCCCCCACCCCCGACACAGCAGACACAACACAACACACACACACAACACAGGAAACACAACGGGACACGCACGCAAAACAGTAAACACAAGCACACCACCCGAAGCACGCACACTACACACTGAACACACCACAGAGTAAGCACACAGCAAACTGAATACAACACAGTAAACAGGCACACAACAAACTAAACACACAACAAAGTAAATACTTCACACAGCAAACACAAGCACACAATATTAACACATATTTAATTCACATACACAAAACATGCACACAACACACTAAACACACACACACGACACATACTCGCGGCTTCCAAAATACAGGGCTAAACAGCTTCCCATTCTCAACATTTTCACACGCAAAAGGGCGGGGTGGGGGGCGGGAGCGGGGACTGGGAGATGGAATTTTCTTCCCTCTAAACAGCCAAGGCTGCCCTCTCTTCCACCCCTACCCGGAGAAACACGTAGTGGCCTCGGGTACCCCTCAGGATTTGCTTTCCGGGATCGTGTGTGGGAATCGCCCCCACCCTTTCTCCTGCCGGGTCCCAGGTCTTTCTGGACATAAGGACCAGGTTTCAATAGGGCTATAAATCCACCCTTTTTTTTTTCCGTCCGGCAAAGCATTTGCAAAAGATGCAGGAGAGTGAGAGTGGAAAGAAAAAGGCCGAGAGAAAGATGGCTGTGATTGTCACATCCCGAGCGGCCGAGCCCCAAAGTCGGCGCCTTGAGGCAGCCTCCCAGCCTGACCGCCATCTCTCTGTAGGAAACAGAACATCTGATCAAGTTCAGAGGCGCTTGGAGAGACCGCCTCAAGCAGCGCTTTATAACTGCAGCCTTTCACTTCCTGCCCCCCAATCCTCCAGCCAAGACCTCACCTTCTTTCTTTGCCAGTTTGCTGGGGGAAAACTCTGCCGGTAGCACATCTTACCGTAGTCACCCCCCTCCCATCAAACTCGCCCCAATTCTCCCTCCACATCCAGAGCTCTCTCCCCAGGTTGGAAGGTGAGTTCACTGCTGCCTTAAATTATTGCATGTACCGAAAATAAGCTGGGCAAGAATGACTTCGGGGTCACTCAGCAGAAGGTTTCTTTGAGGGAGGGGGGGTTTCCAGGGAAGAACAAATATGCCTAAATCATGCAAATGAATTCCCTGGAGTCAGGTTTACAAAAAGGGAGGCTTCCTTTTCTTTTCTCCTTCCCCTTTCCTTCTTTCCCTCTACCTCTCCTCGCCTTTCACCAACCCCCCACCTCCCCTGGGCGCCGAGTTGGGTTGAGAAGTTTGGATTTCCTCGCCGGGCTGTCCCGGGAAGCGTGGTTCTCGAGGCTCGCGGGGTGGGGAGGGGGTGTCTGTCGAGCTGTGACCCGGCCAGCGCTGATGCGTGGGTTTCCAGGGAACCCCATCAGGGACCCCGAGAACCGGGGGCCTTGCAGGACTGCGAGGAAGGGCCGGCAGCCGGGCGAGGGACAGCGGAAGGGGGGCGGCTGAGCGAGCCTAGCTTGCCTCTTCTTGGGGAGGGGTCCCGAGCGCAAGGCCGGGGGACGCTGCGACGGCTGACCTACCGGGTTCCCGGTGTCCGTTTTGATATGGCCACATTCCGATAATTAATTGCCTCCAGCACGTGCTCTGTAGTCCTGGAACAAAAAGGCATAATTCAATTAGATCATCAACCGAGAAGTGGGGAGGGGGATGCTTGTTAAGGGGCCGACCTGAGGCGGTTCAGCCAGGCCAAAAGCCCGGGCCGGCAGCCCTTCCCGGAGCAGCCCGGCCCAGCCCAAGCTGGCCGCTCCAAGGGGGTGTCGCTGCTCCCTGGGGCGCAGGGGTCCCAGGTGCCCTCCAGAGGAGCAGACCGGGGCTTGAGAACTGCTGGGCAGAGGGAGGCCGTTTGGAATTCTTTTTCGGCTGGTTTGAGTGGAGGTTTCCTTTTATGGGAGGGGGAACCCTGACCCTTGAAACACGTTAGAAAGCGGAATCTCTCCAGATTGCAAGTTACTGCATCTGAAAACAAAGCTACCCTCTAGCCACCCCCCAAAAGCAAACCACTCCTGTTAAGGGGAAAAAAAGTTAAGTTTTCCTGATGACCTGCAGCTACCCACCCCCCACCCCCACTAGGTCTTCGGAGAAGACTCCGGGAACAACTTCGGGGGACAGCGGGCTTTCGGAAGCTGTCTCAGAGCAGAGTGGTGGCCGATGGTGGAAAGCGAACAGCAGAAAAGTTTTTTCCTGTACGCAGGCTGGGCTGAGGCCGATGACAGGGCTCAGTTTTTTCGTTTTTCAAGTGCAGAGAGGAACCATTTGGGTTGGGCTGGGCAGGACAGGGCGACTGGAAGCCAGGGGTCGTGGTTCTTACTTTCCGCTATAAAGGAGACTGCCTCAGCAGCTTTGGCTTACTGGGGTTTACATGTGTCTTAGGTGGCGTAAATTAACCAATAAATCTCTTTTATGCGTTCCCCAGTTGTATGTGGTCTGGTCTAAATATCCACATGTCTATATGGATATGAAATACAATGGGATCCTTTCCCTCACACTGAGTTCAAACAGTAAATAGGGAAAAGATTTGTTTTTATGCCCAAATCTGAAGTGATAAATAAAATCAGAGAAACTGATCATTGCCAAACAGGCAAAGCTCCTGAGCCGACGTTTAGAACCTACCTTGCAGAAGCAGGAGGGAGACAAAGTATCCTGAGGGTGGGGTGGGGGGGAAGGACTGGCTTCCCTCTATAACCCAGAGCCCCCCACTCAAGAGCACTTTTCCGTTCGCGGCAGCCTCCTCAAACAGAAAATGTGTACAGCACAGTGCGCTTTCGTGCAGGATTTCTTTCTAAACACATTTTCTGTGGCGGACATGAAATTATCCTAAGTCGGAGACCTAGCAATTTTCTTTAAGTCCAAGGGAAACACTGTGGTCTTTTCTTCTGTTTTGTATTTAGAAAAGACTTGCAATCTAACACTCGCAACATTTTAAAGACCCTTTAAACCCAGCAAGCGGATTTCCGTTCTGCCAATGCTTCCTGATTTATTTCAATAAATGAATCTTTGAATCCAGGAAGGGAATTATTCCAAGACGCTGAATTTGGTGCCCCTGCCTCTCCCTAGTGGAGCACAAAGTGTTTCTCGTTGAAAGGTGTCCTTGAAATTCACCATTATTCGCTTTTTTTTTTTTTTCTGGTCAACGACATTTTCTTCACTCTAAATCCTTATCCTTTCTTCAGAGTCCCACATGTTTTTAAAAGAAAGACTGCAAATTGCAATTTAAAAAAAATGAAGAGGGAAGAAAGCTGGCGAAAGAATGCATTTTTAACTCCTCTTTATTTTTTATGCCAAGATAAACTCTTAATTGGCTTCAGGGGCCAAGCTGAAGTGTGGATCTCCGGATCTCCGGGACCTGCTGACATGCTGGCCAACTGCTCTCTGGGTTCCAGATTTTATTGGCCACATCAGAGTTTTCATTACTATCTCAACATTTGAAAAATATTTTATAAGCCCCAAATAGCTTTCAAATTCAACATAGAATGAATAGATATTGTTAATCAACCCTTTAAAAAAATCTCTTTTGTCTTTGTCCTCTGCAGTCCGAGGCATATCACTGCCCATGTAATGAAATGCAAACCAGACGGGAAGGAGACATTTTCATTGTACTTGTCAATCAAGACTGTGCAGACAGATATATATACTTGAACTTCAGAGACACAGGCTGAAGTAAACAGGGCTGAACTTGGAGAAGGAAGGCAGGGAGTTGAACTAGAGCTATCAGAATCCAGTTTGGGATAATAAAGGGAGCCCCTGAAATACAGGAAATGGAGCAAAAGCCCTGGGTGGTGAGCAGGCTTGCTCACTAGTGTAATGATTGGTCAAGGCTGGGCACAGGCTCGGGTCCAGCTGCGTTCGTGGCCCACCAGTTCCTGCCACCAATGAGGACCTATACCATTCTGGTGGTACCCACCTGGTAGCCTTCAAGCTCTAAGGTACACTGGCAGTGCTCGGACTGCCAAAGGGGCAGGTCACATTGGAAGGGGCCTCCCGTTTCCTTCAGCATCAGAACACCATGTAGGTGGGGAGTGCCCAGGCAAGGAGAGAGGGAGACTCCGGCAGAGGCAGAGACACATTTGACTTGTGTTTGTAAGTCCTTCTCCAGAAAGTCAAGGAGACAAGGGAAGGAAGAGGGACTTGGGGTGTCAAGCTCATTTGACATTCTGGAGCACACATTTACCCAGGATCCCAAGTTCCTTCTAGCTGCTAAATGCTC